TGTATATAGTGACCTGGCTGGCTGGGACACAAGGGTGCTTCTTTACTGGCAGCCAGCCCTGGCACTGCACCCCTGTGTCCCAGCCAGCCTCCGCAGCACTCTGAGCCCTGTCGGAGCAGGGTCCTCTGGCAGCTGGGGCTGCTGCAGCCTAGCTCAGCATGCTTTGGTCCAAGCACACATGTAAATGGTGTGCCTGGGAGCTTCCTGGGAGCAAAAAAACCCTCTGGAGCAATAAGCTCCAACATTTATTGCTGAGCATTAATGGCACATGTAGATGTTCCCACTTAGTACTTACAAATAGTCACCTTCAGGTTCTTCCTGATAGTCTAAGTCATGGTTTGGCAACCTGTGGCCCACAGAGCCATTTGATCTGGCCTGGGGCTTCAGCAGCAGTCACTCTACAAATGCTTCGAGGAAAAGTGCTGAGTACAGCCACTCTCCTGATGTTGCAATGTGGGGGAAGGCACTGATGGTGTCTGGGTCCTTTTGCCCACCAATCTGCTTCTGCTGCAAACTGGGTCAGTCCAGCCCACAGCCTTTATAGGTTGCTGGTCACTGATCCGTGCATGGTTTTGGTCATGCATGTAGAATTTTTGGCATTTCCAGGTAGGGATTCTGTTCCTGGTTGCATTCTGTTCTTGCATGTACTTGACTGTGACCCCGTGGTGGTGGAGGGCCTTTCTGTCTTTCACCTGGGAAGCTGGAGACCTGGATTCTAGGCTTGCCTTGCCAAGAGGTGTTTGAACTTGGGTCTCCGTGACTTCCCAGCACAGTGCTAACTGTCATGTTACAGGTCAGGTAATATCCAGCCCCTTCTCAGGCACTCCCTCTTGAAGCTGAGTCTGTCTCTTGTATTTCATAGGCACTGGAAAAAATGAGTGGAGTGCACTGAGGTTTCCACTTCATTAAGAATAAGGCTCAAGGCTAGAACCTAGTCCCCCACTCTTGGAGTTCAATGGCCACCTTACTGAGCTTCATACTCGGTGGCTTGCTTTCTTCCTCCTCTCTCGTATCTCCCTCTTGTGGCTTCCCAGCTTCAAAAGGAGTGCCAAAAGAAGGCATTCCTCCTCACCTCCACACTCACTAGTCATGCATTTCAGCCTATATTTTGGGGCCTTAAATGCCATTATGCATCCATAAAGGGCAGGTGTGTGCATGTAGACATACATACGTGGCGAGTGCAGTCTGTCTCACATGCCCATAGTCATCAATTCACACAGGCATACACAACCAGGAATAGAATTCCTACCCACACATAAGTGCCAAAAATGTCATGTAAGTGAAGACATGGTAACTGAGTTGGGTTAGCAGGTGGTGTCTGACTGCCTGGCCAGCAACTCATTCTGGAATCTGCAGGAAAAAGCGAGCCTGCCCCTATGTGTGCACAGGTGCAGATTGACTTAGGCTGTCTCCATTTTAGACCTGTTTATGGCTCACTTTGGGCACACACAACAGCAGAGTGGTTTAGCAGCCTGCCCATTACCAGTAGACAGTCCAATTGGTGGCATTTGTTAGAAATTGTTGCTAAAGACTTGAGGCATTCCAAATGAGTAACTTAATTGCATCTTACAATTAAGCATCAGTAACCCCTTTTCAGTTAAAGTACTTTGCAATGTATAGGTTGTAAATCTTCAAGGGTTTTTTATAGTCTCTAGAGCAACATTTAATTTCACTTAGTACTGGATGGCACCATTTTTTATCTACCGTCTTCCAAAGTGTCTGATAGTTTAAGTTGTAATACATTCAAGATGCTTCATAATTCTAAAAGAAGCGGTGTCTTTTTTTTCTAGATTGGCATTGGCCATAGGAAAGCCGAGAGCTTTCTACATTTTTGTAGTAAGTTGAGATGTTACTAAGATGCTGAACTGTGAAATTGAAAAAGTCTTGTTTGTATTTACCTTTGCACTCTTATTGTCAAAAATTCTATAATTTGCACTCACAATTGTCTGCTGTATTTATTGGAGTTTTTATACTGTTTCATTTTCTGTAATCACTCAAGTAAACTGTCAGTTAAATGCAAGGCAAAACCTGCTAGTGGCGTTACTCTCTGTGACCTTGGTTCTCTGTGGTGCAAGATGCCTATGCAGGATTGAGCCCTGCATCCTGTAATAGAAGTTCTGTATTTGTGATATTTTTGAAATATTGTTCTTATGTTGTTAACAAACCTAAGAACTTTTTCCTATTACAGCACCAGTAAAACTGGTATTGTTGCTTGTTTAGAAAAATGTCATCACTCTAATGAAAAGGAAAAGAAGAGTGAGTAGAGGAATACTATTCCTACACAATCTAAAAATAAAAAAGTTTAGATCCCTTGAACTTGCTGACACAGAGGGATTTGTTGCGTTTTTCTTAGATTTGGAAATTCTCTAAGTCACTACAGTCCTGTTCAACTTGATTTAATTCCATTATGGCATATGACATTAGTAGCAATGGACACTTCGTCTCCAAAGTAAAATCAATAGTCTTTTCTTATACCATAGCTTCTGTTTTGGATAAAACCAACTGAGTTGTTAATCACCTTCCATAACACTTTGGTCAAGCTGCTTAGTTCAGTTAGGTGTTTATCTTTTGTGTGATGGACTTTAGCTTTTAAATTTCTCATCTGCACTACAGGTGGTTCCTTCTATTGATTGTCGAGTCAGAGAATTTACTGAAGCCTGACAAAAATACTTCATTTACAAAAAAAGGAAAAAAAATCAGCTGTGCAGTGAGATGGATTATTCCCCTTACCCCCCCAATTTTACATATTCTTACTTTGTTTTTAAATCTTACTGCTCTCAAGAAGGAGGGGAGGAACTGAAAAAAAAATTGCAGCACAGTTTCAGTTTCTGAAGTCCAATTTCCCTTGCTCGTAGTTTTTGGCCTGAATTGAAATTCCTCTAATTTTGTTGGTCTATGATCTAATAATGGTGTATTGCTATAGATACTCTGAAAATAATCAACAATAGTTTACTTTCTTACTGTTGGTGTTTGGTTCTTTTGACATGCATGGAAGCTAGTAGATTCTGCTATTGTATTTTTTGGTATATCTTTGGGCCATAGATTTTTCTACTTTAATGATGTTTCCATGCAAGGTATTATAGGGCTTTTATTTTTTCACATTTCCTACTTGGGCCACTGTTTTAATCATTACAACAAAATTTGGTTTTAACCTTGTTTCTACTTGTATTGAACAAAGTTTGGTTTCTGTATAGCTAAGCAGATTGCTACCAGTTGTTATCAATAATAATTCTGTTTGTTGGAATGGACAAAGCTGAAGAGACTGTAGTTCCCCATCCAGTAACAGCAGTGTCTGATTTGGATATGCTCATTCTCTTTTTAAATGGCAGAGGGTTGCCTGGAAGGTGAATTTTACATCCACTTTTTGTCTCTGTCATTCCTCAGTGCAGGGTCTCTAGTTTCTCTTGAGTCAGAGGTGTCAAACAAGGCCTGCAGGCCAGATCCTGGTGGCTAGTCAGACTACCAATGGGTGACTGGAAGTTGGTGTGGCCAGTGGGCTGGCTGCAGAATATGGGACCCTTGGGATTTGCCAGAC